GAATACTAAACCTGTTACTTGGAGGTTGACAATCTGTCTACTTTACTAGGTTATTACACCTCTACTAGAATTGAGATATTAGTAAATATAGCATCTTTAAAAAGAAGAAATCAAAATCAAAATAGTTTAAGTTTTTTTGAAATGCTAAGACTAATGCTAAAAGTTGTGTTTGAGCTATATTTGTTAATACATAAATGTTTGGATTATATAAAAAAGAGTTAGAAATTTCTTGAGCTAGTTTTGCCTTATATTTAACTAATTGAATATACATTTTGTTAAGAGTTTTTGTTTGGGCTGAAGTATATAAATTGTTTGTTTTTCTGTTGTATTAGCAAATTGTAACCTTTTTTTTTTTTTTAATATAAATTGGCATGCTTTTATTAGATTATACTAGAAATACATTATATTATTTACATATATAAAGCTTAGATTTCTTTAATAAATCTAGCTATTTTTAGCTTTCTTTTTTTATACAACATGTTTAAAATTTTAACATTTTTCTTTAATCTAATTTCTATTACTTTTTTAATTTTTTTTTTGAAGTTAATAGTATTTTCTCATTTTGCTTAGATATACCATAGCCAGATTTTATAAATAACTGTTAAGTATAACCATGAAGCTGTTTTTTGTAACTATGTATTTGAGATGTTAGACATAGTAAAAATTTTTTTTATTATAGTAGAAGAGGCTTCTTTTAATGAAATATTTAGAAGCTTGTAGCTATAGGTCCATATAATTTTACTAATTCTATAGTCTAAAGCAAAGTTTTCTATAGTTTGTTTCTTATCCTTATAGTTAGAACAGCTTTCATTTATATTTAGATTGATATGTACCAATTGATAGCTGAGTATCTTTTTTCTTATTTTGAATTTCTTTAATAAATAACTAGTTAAAGTAGTTTATTAAGTGTTCTTGTATTCCTAATAGTAATTGAGAGGCTGTAAGTTTTATTAATCATATTCTTAAAAACTCTGTTGCTTTCTTGACTAAGAATTAATTTTGATTATGGCTAGTTATTGTTTGTGATAACTTTGCTCTCTAGTCTCTTTCAAGCTGTTAGATAAGGCTTTCAAGCATTTGACCAACCTTTTAGTTTTATTGTATATTGATTCAGTATTTCTAAAACTGTTTTTCTTTTTTTATTTTGCAACTGTTGTGAGATTGCAATTTTTTTATGCTTCATTTAAAGGTTATTGGATGTTAGCAATTTAATTCAGATGAAGATAAGCCTAGAGTCTAAAATGTCTTTGAGGATTGGAGCTGTCAGCCCTTTCTTTTTAAGATTTAGCTGAAATGTTGAGTATTTAGATAACATTTTTGACTTGTTCTTAATCCATTCTGAAATAAGAACATTAATTTTGTCAAGCTGCTTTCTGCTTGAAGGGTGCAGATATGCCAAGTACAAGATTTTAGAAATTAATAATGCTTTGGCAATTAGAATCTTTCTTTTAAAGAAGAGATTTCTCAGTTTAAGCTTTTTGATCTTGTGCTTAATACTATCTGTTAGTTCTTCCCATAGTCATTTTTTAAGGTTGCCTCTTAAGTCAACTTCATATTCTAGAATTCTGAATGAGTTATCATTGCTAACTATTTTAAAATTTTGTTAATTGAGTAGTTTCTTACTATATGCCATGTTTGTAAAAGGAATTATAATAGATTTGTCTTGATTTATTTTGGCATTAGTTGCCTTTTTATACTTTTCAAGCAGTGTTAAGACTTTACTTCAGTCTGTAGATGATTCAATTCTAATAGTTAAATTATCTGTATAAGCTACTATCTTGAAGAGCTAATTTCTACACTTGATTTCTTAAATTTCTTCTTGAAACTTAAAAATTAAAGGGTTAAAGACAAGAACATATAGTAAAGGTGATAGTAGGTCCCCTTGCTGAACTTCATTTTTTACTCTTATAGGCTTAAACAATCTTCTTAAATCTGTGATATGTGCTACCTGTAAGCAAAATAAAGTATTTACAATTTTGATAAAGCTGTTATCAAAGTTTTTTTTTTAGTACTTGTATAATAAACTTATAACTTATTCTATCAAATGCCTTTTGTTGATCTAATAGTATAAGCCAGTATAAGAGAAATTGGTCCTCTTGGTTTCTCAAAGTAGTAATAATATCTAAAGCTGTATCTACTATTAATTGTTCTTTTATAAATGCTTGTTGTGATGGACTAATAATTGAGTTACAAATTTCATTAATTCTATTAGCCAAGATTTTCATAAAAATTTTGGCATCACTATTAGTTAGTGAAATGAGCCTTCAGTTATTAACATTACTTAAGTTCTCTGTTTTTTTAAGAATAAGTATGATTATACTTTTGAATTATAATTTAGAGATAGTGCCTATTTCCAGACAGTAGTTAAAAAGATCTGTAAGTGCAGAAAGTACCTTTTTTTGAATATCTTTATAGAACTCATAGCTAAGACCATCTGAACCTGGAGTTTTGTTGTTAGAAAGAAAGATTAGTACACTTTTGACTTCATCTTTTGTAATATGCCTTTTAAGTAATATATTTTGTATTATTGTAATAGAATAAGATTTTGAGTGAAAAAATTAACCTTATCTTGATTAATTTCCTTAGTTGTGTAAATATCTTAGTAAGTATTTCTTATATATTGAACTGTTTTGTTAATATTGTCTGGCTCAAAGTTGTTTGGCAAAAAATTTTATCTTTTGCTAATGATGTATTTTTAATTTTGTATTGTATGAAGAAAAATTTTGTTGATTTTTTTCCTTCTTCTATCTATTTAGTATTGAATCTAAGTTGCTATTTCTCAGAAAGAATATGAAGCTTATCCTGTAGTTGTATACTAAGACCTTCTTTTGCTTTAAAAAAATATTCTGAGCTTTTTTTTCTAGCTAATTTGTTATTTAGTTTAGTTAGTTCTTTTTGGAGCTTTTGTATCTTCTTTTCTAATGCAGAAGAAGGCCTAAAGGCTTTGATTATCAATTATATTCTGCATTTAGATCAATTCTATTTTGAGAAATCTGCAAAGCTCTTTATCTTTTTGACTATTTCTGTTTTTCCAAATTGTATAATAGTATATTTACAGTATTGGCTGTAATTGGCATCAATAAAAATGTAATCAAGCCTTATAGCTATACTGTGATTTTCTCTTATATTCTGGTAATAAGTAAGAAATAGCTTCTAGTTGTTTAATAGTAATGCTGTATCAATCAGGTCTGAAGTAATTTCTTTTAGTAATTTTCTCAAAGGATCATTAGCAATTGGTGCATAGCTAATATGATCTTTTTGTAGATTCAGATTTGTGTTAAAGTTACCTGCTACTATGTTGATGTGTTTCTCATTAAGTTACAAATTTCAATTATTAAAAAAGTATACTCTGTCCTCTATATTTAGAGAAGTATATATGTTGTTTAATTGAAAAGAGTATTGTTTGTATATGAGGTTTGCTAATATTACTTGTTCATAATAAGATTCTCTAATATTTTTCAGTTTTATATCATGATTTTCTGTAAGTATTGTTGTTTTGAAGGTTCAGTAAGAGTCAAACTCCTATATTTGTTTTAAAAAGTTTTTTGTATAAATATTTTCTAGATTAGTTTTCTGGATTATAATTATGTTTAAGGGTATGATTTTAATAATGTAAGTATTTTGTATATTTTTTCTTTGTTGTTCAGTTCTTTAATGTTTAGTGATACAATTTTGATTTTTTTAACCATTAAAAAATAATTTAAAAAAGTAAAAGTTGAGAGTATATCTATTGCAGTTCTCTGGCTTTTGTATAGAGAGCTGATGTTCCTAGGACTGTAGTTCTTCCTACTTTCATAGTTGCAATTCTGCTTTTTTTTGGAAACTACTGTAAAATCTTGTTTGTTTTCTTTATCTATAAGATTAGTATTGTTTGCTCATATATTGTTATACAGACTTGCAAGTAAGTTCATTAGTATGTTTTCATATTCTATATTCAGCTTGTTTTAAATTAATTCTATTTGACATTCTAATTGACTTTCTTGTTCATTGTTGATCATTGACATCTCTGTGTCTAATATTATTTGATTTTGCATTAAAATGTTTTCATCTTCTGTGTTCATTGTTTCAAGTTTTTTTATAGAGTTGTTCATAGTATTCTTGTTTTTTAGTTCCTTATTTACATAAGGGTTTTTTGAACTAAATTCAAAAGGTTTATCTATATGTTGTTAAAGCTGAATTTTTTCTTGTTTCTTTTGTTTTTTTTTTGTAGTTTGTGTAAGTTTCTAGTCTCAATTGAGAGTTTGTAGTCTGGGCAGTCTTTTTTTATATGATCTGCTTTGTCATAAAAGAAGTACACTTTTGGGGCCTTTCTTCAGTCATTAGTAACTCTGTGGTTTCAAATATGTATAAATCTAGAAATTTGATTTGTCAAATCTGGGTCATCTGTCATTTTAAAGATTACAACCCACTGGTCTGACATTACAGAGGTTCCTTTGTGGATCAGTGTTTTAATTGATGAGATTATACTAATTAATATCTTGGAATGCTTTTCTAATCTGTTCTGAAATAAATTTCTTTTTTTCTATTAGTGTATTTCGAATTCTTACTGATAGAAAATTGTGTTTAATGTTTATAGAATATATTCTTGTAAGGTCTGTTTAAAGATAATAACACCTTCTGTTGCATATTGCTGTTGTTTGGTTTTATCTAAAAACACAACCTCTAAATAGGTTCTTTTGTTTTTATTAATTATTGGCTGGGCTGCAACAAGGTCTTCTCCTATTTTTTGTTCCAAAGCTTCTATAATTCTTGTAATAAAGATGTTTTCTAAACTAAATAATTTAAGATTAGTGCATTCTTATTTTTGGTAATAATTTTTTTTCATGAAGAATAGGTAAAGTATATGGCTTTTCCTCTTTCCAATTTTGAGAAAAGATCAAACCACTGTTTCAGTTTAGTTTGTTTATCCTGAGCTTCTGATTAGTTGTTTACATGATTGAATATAAGCTTTTCATATGTTGTTTGTTTTGTTTGTTTATCTGAAATTTGATCTTTATTGCTCAAAGAAGTGACTGAAACAAGTCTTCTTTTTTAAGTTTTGTTGTTTTACTCTTTTGACCTTTAGAACTTTCTATAATAACCTCTAACATATTTTCTATTTCTTGTTTTTTTTCAGTAATAAAGACTATTAAATCTGTTATTTTCTTCTTGTTTTATTTTTTTGTTTACATCTTCAGAGCCAAGACTAGACTTTTTTTTAAGGCTTACAATTTTGGTTTTTTTATTTTTGTAACTCATTGATACTGAACTAAACATAGTTAAACAAGCTTGTGTTTTTTTTCTAAGCACAAGAGTTTTAGCCCTTGTGTTGTTTTTAGTAGATTTTTTCAATAAAGGTTTAATAGTTTTTTGTTTATTTTGTTCTCTACTACTAAATGTAGATGAAGAAAAAGAGAGTTTATAACTTTTTTAAATTAATTATGATTTCAGCTATTATTTTTTTTTATACTAATGTTGGTCTTTTGTTAGTTAAGAACTATGCCTTCAAGTATTTGAATAGTTTTTTATTGTTAATCACTATTAGTTATTTTTCATTAAAGAGTATAAAGTTATTTGGTAATTAGTATAGATTTTGAAAAATTGACCTTTATATTAGCAAATTTGTAAAAAGAAAAGGCCATATTCAGGATATTTGTAAGAGAAGTTTTATTAGATGTAATTCAAAGTGAGTTATTCATATAAGCCATTACTAAAACATATTTTTTTTTTAGATGTAAACCAGGAATTTTGTTAGAAAATCCTAAGTATTTTTTGTGTATTCTTGAGTTTAGTAGATTATAATATATTTTCTAAAGAAAAGATGAAAAGAAAAAAAAAACTTTCTTCAGTTCACTACCAAAAATATAGCAAATATAAAATTTTATTACAAAAACTAGATATTACTTTTCAAAACTCAAGTGAAGTAAAGACTTTTACTCCAAAAAAGCACAACCTATTTGTAAATCTGAACAAGCTACAACACAAGAAAGTCAGACTCGATACAGTCAAAGAAAGAACCTTTAGCTTTACTAAAAATAAAAAAAAAAAATAAAAAAATAAAGGAAACTTTATAGCAACAAAAGTAAGCAACATTTCAAGAGTCAAAAACAGAACTGAAGCTTTTACTAGCTTAGGAATAAAAGGAGCTCCTATAAACTGAACTTCATATATAGAAGAGGAGCTAGAAGCCAAAAAAAAAAAACTCAAAGCTCTTCAGAAAAGGCAGAAACACACTTTAACCAAGCTAACCAAACTAGAACAACTAATGGTTAACAAGATGCAAACAACAGCTAAAAGGTAACATATGTTTTAGAAAACAACAAACAACACAAAGTTGAAAAAGACAAAAAATACATACAAAATGTGACAGGCAATAACAATCAAACACATATACAATATATGCCAGAAGACAGAAATCAAGCACATGTGATAGGAATAAACAAGGAGATACACAGAGATATAGGAACTGATCTTACAGATACAACAGCCTATGGTTACACAAGAACAAACAAAATAGAACTCGACAATAAAAGGATAAGGCCAAAGCAGTAGTTTGATTTGTTTTCTAAACTAAAAGGTAAAAAAGCTACCTTTGCAAATCACTTATCTAGATAGAAAATATACTTTAAGAATAAGAATGCTTTAATTATTAATATACAAAGCTTAAGCAATATCTCCAACAACAATATAATTTTAGCTCTTGCTTTAAGTCTAGGTGAAAATCTTATTAGAGCCAAAATTTATATGACTAAAGGCAAAAGAACATCACTTGAAGTAGTGCTCAAGAACAAAGAAAAAGTACAATTTTATGTTGCAGAAAGAATTTTGCTTTTTAAACAGACCCTACTAGGACATATTTTAGTAGACTTGACCTGATTTTTTTTGACTGTAAAGCTTAGAAACATGCCAATAGGAGATATAAAATTAATTAGTAATGAGGTTCTAAAAGCTTTTTAATATATAAGACAAATAGCTTCAATTAAATCATTATTTTTTAAAGGAACAACAGTTTGTTCAGACCAATGGCTAATCATTTTCGAGACTACAGATGACCCAGAGCTGTCTACAAGAATTCCAAGAAGTATACATATTAATAACTATAAGATTACTACTGACTGAAAGGAAGCCCCAAAAATTTACTTCTATTGTGAAAAAGAAGGGCATATTAAAAGAGATTGCACAGAGCTTAAAGCCTTAATTAAAGTTAGAAGAATGCTTAAGGAAGCAAAAAAATTAAGAGAACAGGCAGGAGCTCAAAATCCAAGTACATTTACAATAACAGAATTCAGCAAAGACAACCTATATATTGGCAAAAACACAAAGAAGAACAAGAAAAGGACCTTAATACAGAAGCCACAAGTACAGACACAGAAAACCTAGAAATGTTCACATCAGATAGAAAGATGAAACCAATAGATAGCCTTAGCAATGCCAAGTCTATTATTGAGAATATGAAAATAGACCTCTCTAACAAAACAAACAGCCTAGAACAAAGTTAAGACATAAATGAAGATGCATTATTTACTCTTGTTACTCATAGAAAGCAAAAAACAAAAAGCAAAAAAAAAACCAAATAAAAGCTGACCATCCTTATAGAAATGTAAACAGTTCCTCAAGGGAATGTCTACTACACAGAAACTAACCACCTTCAACTAACATTTATTAATAATTAAAATTGGAACATTAAATGTCAAAGGATTAAATAACAAACAAAAGGCTCAAAAAACATTTACACTTTTAAAGACACAAATTAGATATAATAATAATTCAAGAAACAAACTTATAAGACAACTCTACTAGAAACTTTTTAGCAAAGCAATGGGGTTTTAACTCTTTCTGATCCTTGAAAACTGCTATCTTGGCAGGCAAGAAAAACATAAAAATAACAAACACAAAAGAACTACACAATGGCCAAGCAATAAGTGCAGATATAAAAATTAAACAACAAACATTCTCAGTTACAAATGTATATGCACCCTCTAGCCTAGAAGAAAGAATCTTTTTCTTTAAAAATTGGTCTTCTATTAACAACAAAGGCATTAGCATTATAGCAGAAGACTTTAACACAAATCTAGATCCAGAAATCAATAGAATAAGCCAAGTAACAGCACAAAATGATCAGTCCAGAGAACTAGTAAAAGATCTTATGAAAGACTATATAGACTTATCAATTTTTTCTAAAGATAGCCTATTTATTACATTTTATCAAACAACACAAGGCAACAGAAAAATGGCCACCTGGCTAGACTATATTTTTATTGAAGCAGAATACAGTCATCTTGGCAAAAACACATATACACAGTTTGGTAACTCAAATCATTTACTGTTAATAACTGAACTCAGCTTAAAAAACAGTCAAGCCTTTAGATCATCCTGGAAGTTTGATAAAAAACTCTAGGATATCTCAGAATTGAAAGCAAATATCATTAAAGAACTAGAAGAAATATATGAGGCAGCTAACTGGAACTTATACAAATGCATTATACAGTCAATAGCCAAAGCCTTTAAACACCTACCAGTATCAGAAAAAAAAATTCAAAGAATATACAAAAAGCTATGTAATCTAAACAACAAAATAGCAAGAAATTCTGATTTAGAAAAGCTAAAATTAGTAATAAAAAACTTAGAAATGCAGTTACAAGAAGAGTTGAGTCTCCTTTCAGATATGTGAAGACAAAGGTCCAATGCCAAATGGATAGAAAAAGAAGAAAAATCAACAAAATACTTCTTCTTATTATACAAAATGAAATACATAACCTCATGCAGCACAAAAATCAAGATTCCAAACTTACTAAATAAAAATACACAAGAACAAACAATAGAATATATAAAAGAATCATACAAAAAAATATATAAAAAAGAAGATATTGATATAACAGCTGCATAGCAGATTACTGAAAAGCTTATCAAAGTATCTATTTAACAAAACTCCTATTTAGTTAGACCTATTACTAAAGAAGAAATTAGTTAGATTATTGACAACCTTCCAAACAACAAATCACCAGGCTCAGATGGATTAACATACAAATTCTACAAAAACACAAAAGAAACAATTCTTCTTATAATGACCAAACTTTTTAATGAAGTATTAGAAATAGGACAAACTCCAACCTTCTGAAACAAGAGCCTTATTACTTTAATTCTCAAAAAATCGAATGACCTGTCTAAAATTGAAAATTGGAGACCAATATCAATCGTGAACTCAGATGCAAAAATATTTATGAAGCTATTAGCAAATCGGATTAATCCAATATGTAATGAAATAATTGGACCTACACAACAAGCATTCATTGCCAAAAGATCAATAACAAATACAGCTTTAGATATAATAACAACACTTAAAAACCAAAATGATCAATCCAAACAATACTGGATTCTGCTTTTAGACCAACAAAAAGCCTTTGACAGAGTTAGCCACTACTTCATCCAGCTAGTTTTAGAAAAAATAAACTTTGACACAAAATTTATTAGAATTGTAAACTCACTATTTGCTAACCAAAAAGCTCATATTATAGACTCAGAGTTCATCTCTAAGCTCTTCAAAGTCAAAAGAGGAGTGAGGCAAGGAGATCCACTATCAACACTCTTATATTTTCTAGCAATCAACCCTCTAATACAAACAATAGACCAAAACATCAAAGGCATTCCTATTAACAACACAGCATTTAAAATAGTTGTCTATGCAGATGATATATCAATAGGAGTTAGATTCTCTTCAGATTGGGCCAAAATACAAGAAACAGTAATCTGTTATAAAAAAGCATCAAATGCCAAAGTTAACAGAACTAAATCAACACTTATTCTAATTATCTCAAATGTCAACAGAATTGAGCTAACAAATCAAGCTGAATACAAAACAACTAGTGAAGAACAAAATAACATTACTATTTGGGCTATGAAATTAATATAAAAGAAAAGCCAGACAGCCTTTTCTGGTCCAATATGAAAAAAAATTTAAAGAATAAGATACAAGTCCTGTCACAAAGAAATCTATCATTTAAAGAAAAAATTCTAGCAGCAAAAACTCTCCTTATTTTAAAAATATAATATCTTGCCTACCTGTTGGTACTAACAAGAAAATAACTAAATGAAATCAATATGATAATATCCAACTGGATTAAGAAAAACTTCAAAATGCTATTAAAATACTTAACTTTCCAACTTAGCTACGAACAAGGTGGTCTGACTGCTTCTATACTTAAGGACATACTAGATGCAAGACTGCTTACAATATAAATAAAACTTTTATCAAGCAGCTCCTTCTGGGCCAGAACAGAAAGAACACAAATTGCATTAACATTGCAGATTAAAAGAAAAAAAACAATAACCAAGATTTTATTGCAATCTTCCTGTAAACTAAAGCAATAGCCAGAAGAATAGAAACCTTACATAACAGTCTGAAACAGGTTTAAAGAAAAAATTAAAACAAACACAACATGGCCATGGTGTCAGAAAATTTTGAAATATGTTTACTAAATAGTCACCAATTTATAGTCAAAAAAGCACTAACTAAATATTACAAAAATATAAGGCCAAACAACAACAGAACAAACCCAAAAACAAAGCTATTAGAATTCAAATAAATAAAAACAAAATATATTCTAAATAAGAAAAAAGACATCTTCTAAAGGCTAGCATACAGAGCCCTCCTACTAGGCTATTATTTGGTACATTTTAACCAAAAGAACCTAAAAGATTGTCCAAACTGTCTCTACAAAACCCAAACAATTGAACACTTTTCCCTCAAATGCTCAATAAGCAAAAAGATATGGAAAACAGCCTACAAGTGTTTGAAATTCTATGAAAATGAACTGACCTTCTCTTTAATCGAGAATATCCTTCAGATGACTAACATAAAAAACAAAGAACTTTAAAAAGTGGCAACATGGCTATATATAACAGTAATATACAAAATCTGGTGTTGGTATATGCAAGCCAGATAAGGTGATAAAGTGATATCACAAGAAGAAATTACAAATATAACAAAATACAAATTAAAATATGAAATCAATCTATTGTACAAAATAGTGAGCAATAGAACCTTAGCAAAAAAAGCTAGAGCCTGCAACATTTTAAAACATATTAAATCTCCACTGTAAATATATATTATAACATTTAATAAATAAATAAAAAGTGCTTAGATGCAAAAAAAAAAAAAAAACAGAAAAGGTCTTTTCTTAATCAATACTATCTTTAACTAAGTATAATGCAGTTAGGCCTAGACTTGTAATTACTCTGTTGGTTTGGTATAAAAGCAAGTATAATATCAAGTTTATAACTTTGTCTGATATATAAATTCTTTTAAATACTTTGAATAAGGTGGATATATGAATTGAGTCAAAAGCTTTTGACATATCTTGCAAAAGATTTTAGACTTCTTTCTGATTTGTAATTGTTCCTTCAAAATTTGAGTAAGTTGTGAGATTGGTTGTAATATAGATTGATAAGAAAAGGCTGCAAAATTGTATGAAGAGAATACTTGGTTTCAAACTAGAATGTTTGTTAGTCTGATTGTTAAAATCTTTGTAAAGATTTTTTTAGTATAATCAATTAATGTTATCAGTTATATAAAGTTAAATTTGTAGTTATAATGTTGTTTTTTTGAAATTAGCTTGTAGCTACTGATCTAGGATGCATTCTTGTATCAAGTATTTGTCGAATATTTTTAGTAATAATAGAAGGGCTGATGATGATAGATGTTGAAGAACCTTATTTGCAATTCCTAGTGGTTCTGTTGCTTTTTTCTTAGGAGCTTCTTTTATAGTTTGTTTAAGTTCAGCTACAGTTATTAAAGACAGAAGGTTGTCATAGATATTGCTTTTAATGTTGTTAAGTAAATTGTATATTAATGAAGTCTAAATATCCTTGGCTTGTATAAAACTTGATTTTTTTACTTTGTTCTTGCTTTTTTTTAAAATTTTGTGCTTGTCATATTGTGTGCTTGTATTGCTTTATCTGTGTTATGAGATCAGATAAAGAAAGATTTAATTGTGCTTGTATAATTAGTAAAAGATCTATTTCTGTAAGAGTAGCTGCCTTTGATAGGTGGTAATTTACTTTAGTTAAATTATTTAAAAAGTTATTTGAGAGGTAGTGTAAACATTTGTTAATATTTTTCAAAACAGAATGCAGCTTGATTGCTTTTAATAAAAGTACAAAAAAGGATTTAGAAGCAATAAGAATATATAGAATATGTTCATTTATTTTTTTTTAATTTTTACTACTTAGAAGTTCTATATTTTGTTTATATTGTTTTTGTTCATATTTGATATTAGGATATTTTGTAGATTGAAGCAGATATTAAGTAAATTTTCAAAGTTTTTTTAGTTCTTTGATGTTATTTTTTTAAACAGATATATATATATTTTCTTTTTGTTTTTAAGATTTTTTTTACAATAAGAAGTTTGTATACCAAGTTGTACTTAAAATGCAATGATCACTGTCTAAAATGTAAGAAGCATCAATTAAAAATGAAGGTTCAAATGCTAGTAATAGAGGCCTGCATTGGGTCTTGCAGCCTGGCCTGGCCCAGCTTATAAATTTTTGTAGATTGGGCCAAAAAATTTGCAAAACTTTATAATTGCAAGC